ATTCTATGAAATATATGCGTAGGAGATTTTTGAAAAATAAAGATTATTTCAAAAGTTCCCTCGAAAAACGTGGTTGAGAAACGCTAGATAGAAAACAAAAACAAACAAAAAAAATTGCTCTTTAAAAAAAAATATCATAAGGCACGTGGTCTGTAATGACGTGTCACGTGCATCAACAAATAGTTCCATATGTCTTTGTCGTAGCATTAACTGAAAACCTTTGAATTAGCGGTGAAGGCCATAATCTCCCTGTGGTTTTCTCACGCTTTGATTGTTCCCTCCGATGCGTTCCTTCTCTTGTCCTTTTTTATTTCACAATCTTTTCAACTGCGATGGCTTTACCACGCTTCGGTGAAAGTTTCTTCTTATTGTAGTTAAGCTCTCCCCGATTTCAGGAGTGTTATATAACAATGCAATAACATAATATAATGGTTTGGAAAATAGGCGATGAAATAGAAATATACAGTTACGGCTGCTTTCTTCTGTGTATGGGAAATTTTGTGTACAGCATAGTGGAAGGACCAGATAGTTAGGAATGTATAAAGTCAGGCAAAAAGGATAGTCATTGCAACGAAAACTGATAAATCCTTGCACATTGGCTATTTGCAAAATATGCAAAGTTATCTTCATTGATCGTACGTTATGCCCTGCAAATGATTACCCCAGCATATAGTTAAAAACCTGGTAGTTCTTGGATTACTGGGGAATAGAAAACATAGGAAATGCTTCACAATATCGACACCATCTGGGCTCGCACATGATCTTTCTTCTCAAAAACCTGTTTCGATCTTATGCCGGTATCCGTCCTATGCAGATGCACACATCTTAATTATGCACACATTGCTAATCATAAGCCTTGTATACGTTATCCCATAGTGGACTGCACGCGATTGCCAATCCTTCGCTCTGTAAAGCCTGTGTTGATGTCGATTGTACACTGTGGGTGATATGCCAGGACGCTTGAACTAGCGCAATGTTTCTTAAACTTTTTTGAGTCGCGACCCTTTTTATCACCGAGATTTTTTTCGCTAACCCGTGGACCCCATAATATTTACAAAAAAAATTATACGACCCCCATAAGTATTGCGCAAGTCCGACACACGCGTTAGTGAAACTCAATTTTTTTCATTTGTACTGTAATATACTATTGCAGTTTTAGGTCATTGACATTTATTTCTAATTTTAAGAAATATAACAATGCGAAAATTTTAAATAAGTAGCAGACGAAATGACAGCGTCACGTGCAAAGCAAGGGAAATGAACGTTTATATTATAAAAAGAATGCGTCGAAACGTTTTCGTTTTTTTCTTTGTCTGTATTGTCTTATCTTTATCTATTTTCAGGTACATTGTGTGTGTAAAAATATTTGGTAATTGTAAAATTATTATAATAAGTTAAAGAAATATCAAAATTGCTAAAATTTTTGGCGACTCCTTTGAGAGTCGTTACCCACAGTTTAAGAAATCCTGAACTAGGGCAGTGGTCTCAAACACAGATTGCATGCGGGCAGCATACACGATCTAAAAACAACTGAGTGGCTAGAATTTTTGTTTTCTTTCTTTTTCAAAATGAAAATTTTTAATAAAAAATTTTAAAAAATGTTTTGAATACATTTTTAATTTCGCTTATTAAAGTAGTACCAATATCATTACTGAAAGCTTCCTGGGAGAAGGTAAAAATCTGGTTTTATTTATTTATTTATTATTTCTTTCACTGCGTATCTGTTTCATTTTGAACGCTGAAGTGTAGGAAAAAAAAAGTAATATTTTCAAAAACACTTTTAAAAATTTAATATTTGTTGCAAATGCATATTTAATTATAACAACAGTTTAAACATTTTTATTTGAGAGGGGTATTGAAAATGTTACTTACATGCCTAGTGCTGACATAACTTAACCTAACCTCCTTTTTTCGCTACTAAAATGTAAGCTCGTAAAAACAACCCTCCTCCCGAAAAAAAAAATCGTAGTTTGCATTGTGTCAACAGTTTATTCCTTAATATTATGCTTTTCGTTTTATTAAATTACGGCGAAGTACACCAAGATTATATGCATAACGGTAAGGGGGCCTTCATGGAGGACTTTCTAAGGGAAATCAGCTAGGATCCACATTATGCACGTTAGAAACCACAATATTTCCCACGCAGCTAGCTTTTCATCGGATTTGAACACGAGTCCAAATACTACTATGCAGCTGTCCTATCTACTCGTCTACTAATGGGCGTTTAATATCTTGAAAGCGAGCAGATTCAAAGAAGTTTTATATTTATTGTATTGTAGAATTTAAATAATATTTAAACTACTTGGTCGTAATATTATATAATAACTAATAAATATATTTTTGGAAACTTTTGAATACCCGAAAATGTATTAAAAAATGTAAAACGACATAATAAAAAGAGGGGGGGGGAACCTTAAATTTTTCAAAAAGTTACGAAATGCTTCAATACATTCCAGCGAACTCCAAGAATTGTACGCTGTGTATAACGTGGATACCAGCCGTCTTTTCTTAGAAAAGTTCCTCATAAAGAAGCCGTCTCCTTTATGTAGATAGGTAATGTACGTTTTTGTAATGAAAAAAAATCCAAGAATTCCAAAATGTGTACTATATGTTTTGAATAAACTGTGTTGTTTGTATGTGTTAGCAAAATATAAAATATGTATGCTATTCACCTTTTCTTTTATATAATATAATAATTTTCATTCTGCTACACACGCTACTATTCATAGTATTTTTGTGGTTTTCCGTAACTCCATCTCCATTCATTGTCTGATGATGCATTTTACAATGCTTACCATTCACCGGAATATAATGGTGGATGAATGAAAGCTTATGTTCATATGCGTGTAAACAAACCCACTCACGTTCAGACTCTATTTTACTCACTATTCTTTTTTTAATTCTCGAATCAATGGCTACCACATGCAATGTGCTATATAGGGCAGTCGGAAACTTTTTTTTTTATCCCCGCAGAAAGTAGTGAGAGAAAAAAACAAAGGAAGAAAAGAATTTGTGAATACTACGTCTGAGGGTTGATGATCTTCCTGTTTATCCCAGATGATAAACGCAGATCCATCACTCGTCGGTGTTGTCAACCTTGCGTGCTGACAGAAATTTATTATGTCGACGGTCTTTAATCTTCTTGTAATCAAGTTGTATTTGGCGAGATTGGCAGCTGCTTATTATTCAAGCTTTCGTTAAAGGTTTTAGTGATTTTCTTTGATCCGTCGATGCGACAGGTTTTATGAATGGATGTCCTCCCCCCCCCCCGAGTTTGTAAAGAAGGAATGCAAATGCAGATATAAATATTTCTTGCGCTATTTTTTCTGTAACTCGATGCTGTGCATATTTATACATAATGAGCATGTTTTTAAAAATGCTTGATGTTTCAACTATGAAATTTGGGCCCACCAGCGGCCAAGAGGTAAAGTCGCTGAACACTGGTAGTTCGGCCCGAGGTTCGAATCCCGCGAACAGGCTGGCTGCATGGGTGTTTTCGTGGTTTTCCCCATGTGTAACGTATATGCGAGCCAGTTTCCCTTAGAAAGTCTTCCACGAAGGCATACCTTCCCTTAGGCAGATAGCCCTCGAGGCTTTGCCGTAATTAAATAATCTAACCTAACCAACTATGAAATTTCGTGTTAGATGTTTGCATTTGTTCCGATTCAGTTATATATAGGTAAGTGGTTTGGTTTGGCTAATTATTATAAATCGAGGCTATGTGCCTAAGAGAGGGATGTGAAGGCAAACTGGTTTATATCCACGTTTGCATCCATACATGGGGTAAAACACGGAAATGTCCATGCAACCAGGCGTTCGCCAGACTTTGAGCCCAGGTCGAACTACCAGCGTTTAACGACTTTACTACTCGGGCCCCTGATAAGTCTGTAGTTAAGTGAAGACAGATACCGGAGCGATAACGAAAGTAATTTAGAAAAAAAATGTTGATTATATAAAAAGTAATGTTATTAACATAACATTATATTAATATAACTCCATAGACAATTGTTCGAATAACCCGACAAATTAACTCAGCACCATAACACGACAACACCTGGTAGTGAAATTTCTCTGAATATTTGTCTCTTATGTTAATTATTACGCTATCTTTATATATTTTTATGCAAAAAATATTATAAATAAATAAATAAAATAACACTTTAATTTTTAATACTCAGTAATTTTTTAATACTCAGTTTGAAAACACGAACTCTCTTAAGAAATAAACGCAACACATTAATTCAAGTTAAATGTTAGGCAGCAATGTCGGCTATAATCTGTTCAAAAATTGGTTTTTGTATTTGTCCCAATGTTTGTAGAGGAAATCAAACAAATAGAAAACAAATAATGTGCGATTGGTACCATAATATCAAGTTGATACAGAAGCGCATGTTGTCTTATAATGGAAAAGGACATTCTTTGTTCTCAATATGCATCATTTTTTTTGTAGATTAAAATTTTAAATATATATAAAGATAGCGTAATAAAAACCTAATCGATATTTATACACAGTCAGATGTTAATTATTCAGAATCTGGACTTTTGATTATTAATAGCTTAAATTAAATTTCCGGCGAGCAAAGTAACTTGAGAATTTCACGGTTAGCAAGCAATGGTAAAAAACAATCTGATTAATATGCTTCTAGTAGATAAAGTTAAGATTAGGGATACGACTTAACATATGAGTAAATCTTTTAAGTTTCCAGTTGCATAAAATCTAAATTCCTTCCGTTATATCCCATCTTTCTCACATTGGCCTAATGCGTGCTGCGATTCTTAATCCACTCTTTCTACTCTTGATAGGACATTCAAAACCTTCCATCTGAGAACGGTTCAGATCGAATTAACACTCCATCCTTGAGTAACAGTTACTTCTAAAGAATTCCGAAAAGCATCCTTTAATGTCTGGCTGCAGCACCCTCATCCTCGCTCAAACAGATGCATAATGCATTTCAAATCCAGGAAGTGACACAATTTCATGCTAACGTTTTCAATTGCAGGTGGTGCTAAGCGAAGGGGATGACAGAGTAGATGGAAAAAGCTCCTGCGCCAGCGAGTGGTGGTTCTGTGTGCAAGTGACCAGTAACGGCAAGAGCTGGCAAGTGAGAAGATCCTTGGACAATTTTCAGATGCTGGACCATCAGCTGCACAGATGTGTCTACGACAGAAAGTTCAGTCTCCTGAAGGAGATCAACGTTCAATCTCAGCAGCAAGAGGTGAGTCCATTTTTATACATTTTTGCTTTCAAAATACGGTGTTATAATTAGGTCAATAACTGTATCGCTGAAGGCGGCACAATTTGGGCCTTGATTAACACTAATGATATCTATAAAAATCTGTGGTCAATGATTTACGTTAATATTTCGTGGGGAGATAAACTGTCAGAAAAGAAGTAATAACAGAAATATTTGTTGAAGATTTTATTATGCATTTTAAATTGAAAGTCATATATATAAAACAGTTAAATTTAGAATCTTACTCACCATCGTTATATTAGATGAAGATTATCATTGAACTGGACGCTGTTTTCATGTGTTTTATTGTATATATATGTATTTTTCGCGTTAAGAAGCACATACTTAGAAAAAAATTCTTTGACAGTGAAATACTTGCCGCCAATGACAAGCAATAACGAAAGGCAGCTTTATGTAATTTCGGAAAACAACTTTTATTGTATTCAAGAATTCCATCAAAACTTAAGCTAATTCAGTTTTCTAACATTTCAGTTTGTATAGTTTAGTAACTGAATATGGCAAAGGAAAGGAAGGCTATCTGCTCTAAATGGAGAGATGCAATCGTGGAGGATTTTAGAGGAAACTGTCTTATATTTACGTTACACATAGAAAAACCACCCCGTTCGCATGGTATCGAACTCATGTCGAGCTCTCAGTATTCATACCATTCCGCCACTGAATAGGATTTCTTTGCATAAAAATTATTTAAATATAAAAATAATGTAACAGTTATGATAAAAATTTAAAAAATAATAGGTGGTGTGGTGTGGTGTATTTAATTACGGCAAAGCACACTAGGGCTATCTGCCTAAGGGGAGGGATGCCTTCGTGGAGGACTTTCTAAGGGAAACTGACTCGTATACACATTACACATGGGGAAAACCACGAACCATGCAGCCAGCCCGTTCGCGGGATTCGAATCTCGGACCGAACTACCAGTGTTCAGCGACTTTACCGCTTGGTGTAAAAAATAATAGGAAAATTCAGAAATTTGCGGATTTATTCGACATTGTCCAAAAATATTATTTTCAAAAAATTAGAAATTCTTCTAAAATTCTGGAGTTATAATAATAGTAATTCGCCCTGCGTTATACTAACCGCCCTAATTAGAATCATTACTTGATATTTCCCATGTTTTAATAACAGTCTTTCGAGGCATAATATCCTTCCTTATACTCGTTTAATTAAAGTACTGCGTTTTGCTTCCTAAAAGCATTAAGTTCGAGTTTGTTTGCAATTCTGTGCAAATATTTTACAATACCTATCTAAATAATTCACATTATATGTTTGCCATGTAAAATGTCCATTATATACGAATTTCTGTGTATTTTATTCTGCTTGATATATATGTAAGATTTCTTTACAGAGTTATTTGATCATCGTACCTCTCGTTGCACCTATGTTTCAGGGATTGCAATAATTATGTAATTATTACTTCAGAATGCCATTAACGGAAGATTTAATTAAGATATAAATTATGAAAATCTGAAGTAGGAAATCTTCGGATTAGGAGTAACATAATGCTCGATATTTACAACTGGAATCCTTAGATTGTATAAATAAGTAATTAATGTAATTATTCACGAACTAATGTATGTAAAAAAACTCAGCGTAAGCGGTTTGTTGGTGCATAATCTGGAATTCTAGAGGATGATTTTATCGTTCTTATATGGTCACTTACGTGTAGGATCACTTTCTTTACTAGGCCTACCAGCGCCCGGACGGTAAAGTCGCTGAAAAGTGGTAGTTCGACTTCGATTCCAGACGAATGGGTCGACTGCATGCGTGTTTGTATGGTTTTTCCTAAGTGTAAATTGGCTACGAGCTAGTGTCCTTTAGAAAGTCCTCCACGAAGGCATTCCTTCCCTTAGACAAATAGATCTAGTGTGCTTTACCATATTTAAATAAAGAAAACCATTATTTCTTTACTAGATTAATTTGTGTGTCTGTATATTCTCAAATCGTTATTGATTCTAGGGTAAAATATCATTGTACTCTGTAACAAAATTTTGTAAACTCTATAAAATGGATAAATAGTGTGGTGGTTCTCCTGCTGACTGAGCAATATTTCATGGTTGTTTCTATATACGGTAGCTATCCGGTAAGCGGTGTGAGAGATTAATTTAATGTTTGAGTTTCTATTAGATAAATTTATGTAAATTTTCTATTATGTCCATGTCTCCAAAGCGAATCAATTTCCAACTCTCCATCTCTGTCATCATCAATACCCGATTAACATTAGCCTATCTTCTTGCCTAAAAATCTCTTTTCAATAAATTAATTTTTTTTTAATGAGGCAACAGTTATGTTAAAGATTTTCCTTTCTCCACTTTCCTCCTGTCCGAATTTTTTGCTATTTTTGCTTAGTGCTATAGTTATTTACATTATTGTATTAGCGCCTCACTTGTAGCCGAGTGGTTAAGATGGGGCACTAATACAATAATGGCGAAATTCGAATCCAGGCGAACAGGTTGGCTCATGTGAAACTTTCCACATGTGAAATGTAAATACGAACCACGTCGCTTAGAAAGCACATAAAAGCGTCTTTATTCCTAGGCAGATAGCCGTTATATGCTTTGCCATATACAAATAATCTAACTTAATCTAATCATTATTGCATTATTATTATTACCACTTTTTTTTACTACTATTACCGCATAGGCACTGTACATCTGAGATCCCAACTGCAAATCTGACATGAGGACGTTCCCGGATCATATATTTTCTTTCATTACTGGTCGAATGAATATGTCTGCATATGTGCACCCATTGGTTACTCATAAGATGTTCAAACGATATTTCAATTTCTGTCACAATGCTTGCGATGGTATCTGCCTAAAACATCACAGATGAAAACATCTCTTGAAAAACAACGTAATGGGAAGGAGGAAACACTGCAGTTCTAAAACGTCGGGGTATAAAATCATCATCGTAGAAAATATCGTGGTAGAAAACAAAGCATTTACAAATTATCGCAAAATGATATAATATCGCTGAAATTTATTTTGGGACTTTAAAATTTCCTATATGAAGTTTTTAATAGCACTTCAAAAAGACGAATAAACAGAACTAAAACAAAACTTTATAATTTATACTAAAAAGTATCAGATTAGCAAAGGTGAATTTTGCAGTCTGATAATTAATTAAATAATTTTAGTATAGGTAACTTCAATGCAATTACTCACCTTTCTTTTCCCAATTTTTTTATATTATATTTTTCATTCAAAACTCCTAATAGAACTTTGTAAAAAAAACATTAATTAGACAATGTCCTTTAATATTTATCTAAACTCAGAAAACTCAGTGGCGTAATAGCCCTAATGGGCCTGCAGTGCCCGAAAATCTGCTTTCTTGACCGTGGGCCCCGGGGTGCAGAAGCATATGCTCTGAACAAGTGGTCAGCTTGTCGCAGGACCCTCAGTGTTTAGTCCCCAAGCGAGCTTGGTACCCATTTTATCGACCCAAGTGATGGAAATCAAGGGATGAAAGGCTGAGTCGACCTTGCCCAGCCCGGGAATCGAACCCCGGACCTGGGGTGCTGCTGCGCGATGTAGTAGCCATTGCGCCACCGGGCCTTCTTAACATTTAACTACGTAGATTTAAAATTCTGTTAACTGCTGTGCGTGCCGTTGTTTTCAACATATTTTCAGTTTTTTAATGTTTAAATTTCTTTATTGCTTTTTCAGTAAAACTTATTAGTTAGTAATTCAAAAATATGAAATATAGATATAAAAAATCCCTCATTTCCTCTTCCACCCCCAAATCATTACGCGAACATACATTTAAAACTTTTAAAGTCTGAAAACGCATGTCTGCGATGCTATCACCATATGATGATTTGTAGGTGCTTTTTTTTTACCTCGATATTTCTACTACAACTACGTTTTAAAACTGCGAAATTTTTCGATCGCCTTTTTTAATACGATATTTTAGATAGACCACGATATTTTAGAACTGCGATATGCTCTTGCTTTTTTTTTTTTTTTTCCCCTCCTACGATGCCTTATACGACGATAGTTTTTCCCTTCGTTGTTTTCTCCGCTATGTTTTGCTTGTAACCTCTGCAGTAATGTGACTTGGAGGTTATCAATTAATGCATTTCTGAATTTCCTTTTTATGTTGACGACCGTATTCTTGATATAGCCGCAGAGAAAAAAAAATAATTGCTAAATTAATCGAAACCATGTTGGAGAGTGATTTCTGTTTATTGACCCACTAACTTCGTTCCTCCTCTCAGTCTGAAACTTAGCACAGTTGCCAGTTTCTTTCTTGTAAAGAAAGAAGTTGCTAAATTAATCGAAATAAAAATCTTTCTCATAAAGAAAGAAAAGAAGAAAAATTCACTGTTTTTACATTGTACTTTGGGCTTTTCTTCAACTCTACACCCGTCATACACATACCTTTTCGAACATAATGCCCTAAATGTATAATTTTTTTGGTAACAATTTTGGTTTAAAGCAAGGAAAATTTAGCTCAGGCTATTTAGAAAATGCATGGTGAGTGCTTTTGAATGAACTAGGTAGCGTGACCATGCGATTCATTCCTCTTTTTTATTCACGCTTGTTTATTTTTATGACTGCGTCTGCTAACAATTGGAAACCTTGTTACGCCTGTTCCTCTTGTACACGCTTTGTTGTAATTGTATTTGCTGCCGTCATCGAAATTACGTGAATTACTCTTTATGTGGAAGACTAATCATTTCTTGTGAATGAGATCTTGCGACATGAATTTCGGAAGTTGTAGTAAAAGCCATTAAAGTTTAACGAATCCTGAATTGCAAAAAAAATGACCATTCGTCACAGTTGCCTGCTTTACCAATAAAATTAAGAAACTGGATTTTTCATCATTTCTTCTGTATATCTTCTTTTTTTTTTTTTTTTTTTTTTTCAAGCGTATTTTCGGAAGGAGTGCTATTTTGTGTGTGTCAAATGAAAATGCTATAAAGAAATCTGTATAATCCCTCTAAAATATCAAGACAGTGT